CTTATATATATTTTTATATATAAACTCCCATCTTTTATATGTATATATAAAATTCTGTCATTTTAATGGGATTTTTTTTTTTTTAAATGGGAGTAAATCTAGTATTTAGTTAGCCAACTGGAACTGGGAAGCCAACTCTTTTGTTTAGGCCTTCAATATGTAACCAGGATTTTCCATTTTATTGTTCCCTCTGTTGAAGAATTTAGAACAAATATTTCAAGGTCAGGTCAGAATTATTTTGGGCTTCACCTATTGGTCTATTGCCTGCTCATGATCAATCAGAGTCCCTTGCTGAGGCACATCTTAGATGTCCTCCTTCTCAGAGTGAGAATTTGGAGACCCACCATACATCACTGTGTAGGGAATATAATGACAAAGCCTCAAATTTAGAAAATGTCTTTCAAAATTGACTTCACATGTATCTCAGGAAGTTTCAAGACCTTTACACCACAAGGACTCCTAGTTGTTTATCCTTTCATTCCAGAGTTTCTGGGGAGGTTATACAGATTAGGTCCCCTTGAATTCACTTCTGTTTGTGGAACACTTTGCACTTTGTCTAGACTTTCACACTGATACTTCATTTGAGCGTCTTGACACATTGTCTCCATAGGTACGGAATATTATCCTCATTTAGCACACAGGAAAATGGATTCAGACAGGTTATTTGCTGAATTAGACAAATAAAAAATGGGGGAGCCAGTCCTCCAATGCCGAAATTCTTTATCTGAGTACACCTCATGTGGACTTCTTTAATGACCAAGATGAAACCCATGTCCTTAGACAAAAGCTGATTTCAAATCTAGATAAGTATCCTTCAGGCTAGACAGGAATTAAACAAGACTGTAGGGTTGAATTCGATGTTTATTGAGAAGAATGTGCCTGATTATGACAGATTAGGTTTTTATATTATTCTAAAAAGTCACAGAATCAATGATTTCTTTAAAAAGTTCCCCTGAGGGGTGCCTGGGTGGTTCAGGCAGTTAAGCATCCAACTCTTGATTTTGGCTCAGGTCATGATCTCGGGGTTGTGAGATTGAGCCCCATGTCCAGCTCCACACTCAGTGGGGTGTCTGCTTGAGATTCTCCCTCCCCACACCTCTCTCTTTAAAAATAAATCTCTAAAAAAAAAAAAAAGCTCCCCTGAGAAGAACAGTTCCGAGCATGATTATGTTGAGTGTATCAGTTATTTATTGTTGTTTTAAAAACTCCCTGCCCTGGGGCGCCTGGGTGGCTCAGTCGTTAAGCGTCTGCCTTCGGCTCAGGTCATGATCCCAGGGTCCTGGAATCGAGCCCCGCATCAGGCTCCCTGCTCAGCGGGAAGCCTGCTTCTCCCTCTCCCACTCCCCCTGCCTGTGTTCCTTCTCTCGCTGTATCTCTCTCTGTCAAGTAAATAAATAAAATCTTTAAAAAAAAAAAACCAAAAAACTCCCTGCCCTGAAGCTGTGGCTTTAAACAATCACCATTTACTCTTGCTCCAAAGCCTTCCAGTCAGCTGGGAAATTCTGCTGATCTGTCCAAGCTTGGCTGATCTCAGCTGGGCTCACTCATGTGTCTGTTTTCAGCTTGAGTGTTGACGGTGAGCTGGCTGCTCCACCCACATGTCTCGTGATTGGCTGGCAGGCTGTTGGCTGGAGCAGTTGTCTTTTATCATTTAGCAGACCATCACAGGCTCATTCATGGGGTAGGATCAGAGTTCCAAGAGAGCATGTGGAGGCTTACCAGGCTTTTTCTTCTTACTAGGATTAGAACCAGCACAGTGTCACTTCCACTATATATTGTTGGTCAAAATAAATCATAAAGCCAGTCCAGGTAAAAAGGGCAGGGAGCTGCAAAGTCATATTGAAAGGAGCATGGACATAGAGGAAAATAATTTTTTGCACACGAAAAGCTAATTTTTGCAAACAACCTACCATACCTGGTCATTATACTCATGCCTCAGCTGCTAAAGGCTCACAGATGCCTCCCCTTTCCTGGAGAATTGCCCTCAGCTGAAAGGGGCTGCCTTGTTCTACAGATTATGCCCTTTTTTTCCTGTGAGGGAAGGAGATGTGGTCCTCAGCAAATGACTGATGGATATTGGAACACAAAAGGCCAGCCCCTTTGCTCCAGGGGGCAACCGCTCTGTGGTGTGATTTAAGCTTCCAGACTAGACTGGACCTGAGACCATATCCGTGCTCTGCTTTTACCCCTTCCCTATCTTACTTTCCTCATCCCTTTACATGTTCCTCCTGAAGAGTACTCCCCTGGTCATTCACAGACTCCCAATTCCCTGACTCAGGCCTTACATCTAGGGATCCCTTCGATGACAGATGTTTTATGATGATATGATGATAAAAGACAGCAGACCCTTATCATCAATACATATTTATAAGCAACGTTGCATATTTTAGTTTAGTGGCAGTCTCTATGAGATTTCAAAGTGCCCTTTTACGCTTTGGCAAAATGACAGTGGCTAATATTTGCTGAGTACTTAGCATGTACTAGGCTTTGTGCTCAGTATGTAATATATATGATGTCATTTAAAACCCACTATGACCATATGAAAGAGCTACTGTTACCAGTTTTTATACTTTGAATGTTTTCTAAGTCATTTTGTATCCGGATTTTGTTGTACTATTCTTTAGGAACAAAAGACTTCTGAGTCTGCATAAAAATAGCCTTTGACACATGACATAAGGAAACATCTGATAAGTGTCACAAACCAGAAAGACAACTTGACCTTCCTTCAGCTTGGAGTATCAGGCCTCTCTGGGTTCATCATTGAACAGTATTGATAGGGAAATGTAATGGGCAAGGGAACATCCCAGTTCAAAACGTGAAATCTTTCCATTAAAGTCATTTGGTTATTTTGGTGTGCAATTTCGGCATTGCAAACTATTTTGCTAAGTCATGCATTTGTGGGTCCAGGTATGTCCATCTTCATTTTAAAAATCGTGTATGCTGTCTGGTTTCCATTAAGTAAGTGTCATTTATTCATAGAGCAAGCATTAAGTTTTCATCATGACATATTAACTATTTTCTCTCTATATCCACCTATGGACATCTATATAGGTAAATATAGATAAAAATAGACACACATATGCATATATAAATATATGTAACAAATAAAAATATAAAAATGTATAAATATATAAAATAAGTGTTGTGGACATCACAGGAAGATGAGAAATGAGTCAATAATAACTGTTCATGTCAGTGGACCCCTAATTTCAGCAGCTGCAGCAGGAAATAGGAAATCTTATAAAGGGAGGGTCAAGGAACAGGCATTAATTCTTTGTGAGTTGCGTGGCAATGCTTTGTCTTTCTCAGTCTAGCTGGAAATGGCCTCTGACTCCAAAGGAAAACCCAGAAAGGAAGACCAGATAAGACTGTTTGGCATGGCACTAAGCCAGAAACCAAGGCTAGGGGAGGTAAAAGGAACCATCCCCAAAGTAACGCAGGTAGCAAGTGGTGCAATCGAAATTTGAACCTGGGGGCTCCGCCATCTGCTGAACCAGCAGGCGATGGATGAGTGGGCAACGTGCTGATGTGTGGAGGGTGCGTTCTGGAGAGCAACTCACACAGTGCGGTGTCTTTGTAGTAACAGCGAGGAAGACTGCGACAGGTGACTTTCCACTTAACAGCCGTGATCCCACCTACCTGAGCTAAACCCCTGCGAGTTTTATTTTGGGGAGATTTTAACTGGATTTAAAAGTGAACTCAGTTAGTTACTCAGAAGCCGAACAGGTATTCCGAGAGAGCGAGAGAGCTTGAGGGACAGAACTGAATAATGAATGTGTTTCTGAGTCTGGCTTATGTGAAGCCTCTGTTAAAACTGACAAGAAACTGCCAAGAGGCTTAAACTTCAGAGCTTTTGTAAAGAAAATTTCTCTGGAAAGTGATGAAGACAATACTCCTTCAGTGAAAAAACACCAGAGCCTAATTTTGCAGGATCTTGAGTACCTTGTTATGTAAGGGACCAGAGCTTATAAACTGCCACTGGGGACTCTGTGGCATTGGGCCCGTGAGAGACCCACCTATTTGCTCACCACACAAGAAGGATCCACAGAAAGAACTCAAGCTCCCAAAGACCAGTTGTTTCATCTAAGAGAAACACAGTCAGCCCAGAGCCCCATGAATTCCCAATCCACTCTTGCCTTGTAGTGGATTTTTATGTGTTTCTCTACCTTGAGGACTAAGCCAACAACTTATTTTTTTTAAATCTGCCCAAGTGGTATCTTTCCCTCCTCTGAGCAGGCAGCCAAGGCACACAGGTCACTTCTATTACCTAACATGCAGGAGGAACCTTAAAGAGAAAAGTGAGAAAAGAAGTGAGAGCATAAGGCAAAAGGATTGGAGAAGATCAAAAAAGAACAATAGGGCCCTGGTGAGCAATCCTTGGCAGAGTGCCCAGAGCAGCTTCAGGAGAGGGACAGAGCACAGAAAGAGCATTTCCTGCTCTGGGTTAAAAAAATAAACCCAACCAATCTCTAAGAGGTGGTCTATTCATCCTGCACAGCATTAGGTCATTAGTTCGAAAACTGTAGATCGTTAACAAAAACAGCACTTTCTTCACACGTAGGTGAATGGGTCTCTCCCTGCATCGCCCGCTGCACACCTGGGTTATGTTAATGTTATCTTGCATGTGGGTGGTTTCTCAGAAAGTTTCAGTCATGGTGACAGCTTGAACCGCCTCTCGTGCCTCTAAAACCTCTCCTACGTTTCCTATCTTCTATTTTTCTCAGCCTACACTCATCTTTGATAGAAAAGAAGGGTAATCACCACATAGGTGAGGAAACAGCAACTGTTCCTGACCACAATTATTGCTGGAATTAGCAAAATCCTAAGTTGGCTTCTGACACGGAATGCAAAAATGACTTCATGTTTTCCCTACTCTTTGAAGTTCATCAGCTCCTCTCATTACCGGTATTTTGGAAGTTTCCAAAATGCCTCACACTATCAGTCTAGATGGCTTTCCTTCAGGAAGCTGCTAAGACTGGCTTCTCTTTTCTGTTTGCCAGACCGAGAAACCTTGGACTTGGGGGAGGATTTGCCTTGGACCTCCAGGTTTGTTACTCTGAACCATTTTCCATGTAAAATTTTCCTGATGCTTATACAACCTGTAATAAGATCACAGTCCTTTGAACTCTGAGCAGGTGTAGGGTTTTACAGCGCAATATTTTAAGATAGAATTTGTTTTAATCTTCCAGTTAAGCCTCTTTATACAAACAGAGCAGCCAAGAGAACAAATACAGTTCCCTCACAAGTTGTTTGTCTAGTTAACAGTAAGTACGCAAATCAGTTTCCTGTTCACACAAAGGATTTTCTTGTGTTTGAAATCTTTGACCAAGGGGACACCGGCTTGGATTTTCATAGGGAATTCGCAACGTGAACGCTCTACAGCGCCCTGTGCACCAGGATGTGAGGTGACTTAGCAAGCAGCTGGTTAGCACCAAACAAGTATCTTGCCGGAGCTTCTGAAAAGGACCTTTGTGTGCGCAGCGCAAAAGCATCAGGAAGCGTCTACGTGGAAACAGAGGTTCAGTGCGCGGTGAAAGATACCGGGAAGTTGGAGGACAGCAAAGAGGAAAGGAAAAGGAAAGCCTTATTGTCAAGATAAAATTAAGACAAGGGCTTGCAGCTGTGAATTGTGCAAGACTGTTGAATCTCAGATCTGTACCTCTGAAACAAATAATGCAATATATGTTAAGAAAAAAAGAAGAAGAAGAAGAAGAAGGTAGCGGGAGGGGAAGAATGAAGCGGGGGAAATCGGAGGGGTAGACGAACCATGAGAGACGATGGACTCTGAAAAACAAACTGAGGGTTCTAGAGGGGAGGGGGTGGGAGGATGGGTTAGCCTGGTGGTGGGTATTAAAGAGGGCACGTATTGAATGGAGCACTGGGTGTTGTGCACAGACGATGAATCATGGAACACTTCATCTAGAACTAGTGTTGTAATGTATGGGGATTAACATAAGAATAAAAAAAAATTAAAAAATAAAATAAAAAAGACAAGGGCTTGCAAATGGCCCATTTCCCTCAGGTTTTGTGTTCAAGGTTTTCCTTTTTTTTTTTTTCCTTACGTATTCCTTCCTCTCTCTTTAAGAAACATGAAAACAGTCACATTAGTATGTATTCCCAAAGAGCCTCTTCAGTCTTGAGGTCCCTGGCAGGGTTTATGTTTGAAAGGCAAGCCGTAGGCAGCACTCATAGCTGAAGCCCTGCATGCTCTCTGAGGGACGGTGAGGCGGGAGCATTGCTGATTTGTACCCTTGATCCGATACCGGGTACTTTACTGGTGTAATCCCCACCCACCAATGAATTAATTGGTGTACTTTGTCCTTTTTGCTAGGTTCTTTCAATCCCTCCGCTTGTTTACCCGAACGTATTTCCCCTCAGCCTGGATAAGTTGGATAGAAGTTGCCGATTGCCCTGGGGAAACGAAGATGTTTCAGAAGCTGAATAACAAGTAGCATATTCTTATTTCTTACGTTGGAAAACTGCTGATCTTGATGGCAAATGGAGAAATTCACAATCACCCATGTAGAACCAACCCGTTTCTCTTGAGACCGGGTCCGGGTGAATGCAGACATGAAGGAACCCCTTTTAAGCGCGCAGTTTGGAAAATAGACACTGAGAACCAGGATTTGGACCAGGAAACAGCAAATCTCAGGGCAATGTCCCCTCCCCCCCGCAACCATGCCATTTTGATGTGAGAACTGGCAGGTATCCATGAGGACTGGAGGCACAGTGGCTCTAGGCAGGAGTGGGGGTGGAGAGAGCTAGCTCTATGTGCGGTTGAAGTTGTGGGCCAGGGCACTCAAATTCTCCCAAGTCTCTAGAGCAGGTCACTGATGTAAGTGGAGGGGAGCCTCTGGCCTCTGTAGGTACTGTGGCTGGAATGAGGGGTTCTATCACTACCACATGTTAGCAGATAGATACCAGGATGCTACGTGAAAGCCAGGTCAACATCTGCAGCCCCTCCAAGCACCATTGAAATAAGATTGGGGGACGCCTGGGTGGCTCGGTTGGTTAAGCAACTGCCTTCGGCTCAGGTCATGATCCTGGAGTCCCGGGATCGAGTCCCGCATCGGGCTCCCTGCTCGGCAGGGAGTCTGCTTCTCCCTCTGACCCTCCCCCCTCTCATGCTCTCTCTCTCTCATTCTCTCTCTCAGATAAATAAATAAAAATATTTATTTAAAAAAAAAAAAGAAGATAGGATGAGCCACCCATGGAGTGGGCAGCCAGCCTGGATGGGGCCTGACACCGAAGCAGAAGCCTATTGCCCGCTGCCACGGGGGGGTGCCCTCTGCTCCCGTCCTCTCAGAACTTATTAGCATCTCTGCCAGGGGGAGGATAAAGAGGAAACCATCCAGAACAGACTGAGGTTGTTTCCTATTAGACTTTTTATTTGAGATAATTGAAGATTCACATGCTGTTGGAAGAAATAATACAGAGAGATCTTGAATATCCTGTATGCAACCTCTCTAATGGTAACAGCTTGCAAAATCAGTATAATGTCACAAGCAGGACATTGACCTTGTTACCGCCAAGGTGCAGAACATTTGCATCACCATAAGGATCTTCATGTTGCCCTTTTATAACCATACCTACTTTCCTCCCCAATCCTTAACATCTGGCCACCACTGATCTGTTCTTTACTTCTATAATTTTGCTATTTTGAGGAAGTCTGTATTTCTCTGTCACCTTTGAAGAATAATGTTGCTGATATAAAATGCTAGGTTGGTGACTTTTTTCTTTCAATAGTTTAAATATTTCACTCCACTCTCATCTTGCTTGTGTGGTTTCTGATGAGGAGCCCAGTGTAATTCTTATTCTTGTTCCTCTCTCAGTAAGGTGGTTTTTTTTTCCATCTAGGTTCATTCAAGATTTTCTTTGTCTGCTTTTTGCTGTTTGAATATGATATGCATATGCATGGGTGTGTGTGTGTGTGTGTGTGTGTGTGTTACATTTATCTTGCTTGGCATACTCTGACCTTCCCGGATTTGTGATACAGTGTCTTTCATTAATTTTGGAAAGTTCTTGGCCATTGTTACCTCAAGTATTTACAAGTTATTGAGCTATTCCAGTTCCTTTCCATTTATGTATTTTAGAACAATCTTCTCTATGTATCCAAAAAGTCCTCCTGAGATTTGATCAAAATTGCAGTAAACCTATATATCATTTTGGGGAGATTTGATGTCTTTACTATGTTGAGTCTTCCAATCCATAAACACAATGTGTCTCTCCATTTATTTGTCTTCTTTAATTCCTTTAACTAGTATTTAGTTTTCAGTGCACAAGTCCTATACATGTTTTCTTAGATTTACATGTAGAAATTTTAAAAAATTTTAAGTGATTTTTTGTATTTTTATCTTGTATCCTGATACCTCGCTGAACTCACGTATTAGTCCTAGGACTTCTCCATACATCTGCACTAGTGACAGTTTTCTTTCTTTCTTTCCAGTCTACATGCCTTCTGTTTCCCTTCCTTGCCTTATTGAACCAGCTATAACTTCCAGCACTATGGTGAATAACAGTGGTGAGACCAGACATCCTTGCCTTGTTCCCATTCTTAGGGGAAAAATGCTTAATCTCTCATCATTAAGTATAATATTATACTTACGTTTTTTTGTAGATGCTCTTAATCAAGAGAATAAGTTCTTCATAAGAGCACAAGTTGAAAAATTTTCCCCTCTATCACTATATCTCTGAGAGTCTTTAATCATAAATGCATATTAAATGTTGCCAAATGTTTTTTTCTACGTCAATTAATATGGTCATGTGGTTTTTCTTCTTTAGCTTTTTAATGTGGTAGATTATACTGATTGAGTTTTGATTATTGTACCAGTCTTGAATCCATGGAATAAATCTCACTAGGTCACGACATGTCATTATTCTTATTGCCAAATGCTCTATTGCTAATATTTTGTAAGAATTTTTGAGTCATTGGGCGCCTGGGTGGCTCAGTTGGTTAAGCAACTGCCTTCGGCTCAGGTCATGATCCTGGAGTCCTGGGATCGAGTCCCACATCGGGCTCCCTGCTCGGCGGGGAGTCTGCTTCTCCCTCTGAGCCTCCGCTCTCTCTATCTCATTCTCTCTCTCAAATAAATAAATAAAATCTTTAAAAAAAAAAAAAGAATTTTTGAGTCATTATTTATGAAGGATATTGATCATAGCTTTCTTTGTCTGGTTTTGACATTGGGGGAAATACTAACTTTATAAAATGATTTGGAAAGTGTTCCTTCCTTGTGATGGTTAATTTCCTGTGTCAACTTGGCTAGTCCACAGCACCCAGATATTTGGTCAAATATTATTCTAGATGTTTCAGTGGAAGTATTTTAAAAATGAGATTAACATTTAAATCACCGGACTTTGAGTAAAGAGATTACCCTCCATAATATGGGTGGCCCTCATTCAAGCAGTTAAAGGCCTTAATGGAAGAATGTCAACCTTCCTTAAAGGTTGGGGAATTTTATCCGTAGACTGCCTTTGGACTTAAACTGCAACATTAACTATTCCTGGGTCTTCTGCATAGCACACCCTGTAGATTTTGGACTTGACAGCCTCCGCAATCCCAGGATCCACTTTCTTAGAATAAATCCCTCCCCATCTCCACACACACACACACACACACACACACACACACACCCTGTCGGTTCTATTTCTCTGGAGAATTCTAATGCACTCCAATATATTCTGGAAGAGATTGCATAGAACTGGTGTTAATACTTCTTTAAATATTTGATAGAATTTGCTGGTGAACCCATTGGGCCTGAAGATTTCTTTTTTTGAATTTCAAAATTATTAATGCAGTTTCCTTACTGTTTATAGAGCTATTCTTATTATCTCTTTCAATCTGGCTGAGTTGTAGTGGTTTGTATTTTTCAAGAAATTGATCCATTTCATCTACATTGTCAAATTTAGGTGTGCAGAGTTGTCAGCAACGTTCTTACATTACCCTTCGATGTCCATATGGATATCCTCAGTTTTGTTCCTGAAATACCATGCTGTGTCTTCTTTATTTTTTTGTCAGTCTTGTACAGGTTGTCAATTATACTGTTCTGTTAAAAAAAATAGAAACAAAAAACCAGCTCCTTATTTCATTGATCATCTCTATTCTTTTTCTGTTTTTAATTTCATTGATTTTTGCTCTTATGGTATGATTTTATTTTTTTCCACTTGCTTTGGTTTATTTATTTCTAGGCTCTTCCTATGAGAACTTAATTTCTGATTTGGGACTTTTCCTTTTTTATAATAGATGCACTTGATGTTACACATTTCTATCTTAGCACTGCTTCAGCAATGTCCCACAAATTTTGATGTGTTACATTTTCATTTTCATTCAGTTCAGGGTATTTTTCAATTTCTTTTGGAACTTCTTTATCTCATGGATTGTTTATTGAGTTTTCAAGTTGGAGATTTTCCTGTTGTAATTTTGTTATTGATTTCTAATTTGATATCATAGCGGTCAGAGAATACTCTTCATGTGATTTCATTTCTTTTAGATGTGTTGAGATTTGTTTTATGGTCCAGGATATGGTCTGTCTTAGTATATGTTCCACGGGCACTTGAGAATAACGTTTGTTCTCTTGTTTGATGGAGTGTTCTGTGAAGTGTTGATTAGATCCTGATGGTTATTGGTGTTGTTGAGTTCTTCTGTATCTTTGCTGATTTTTTGCCTAGTTGCTCTACCAGTTGTTGAAAAAGCAGTATTGAAATCTTCAACTAAAATCATGATTTTATTCTCTTTTTAGTTCTATCATGTTTTGTTCTCATATTTTGCAGCTCTTTTGTTTGGCATATATACATTTAGTATTGCTATATTTTCTTGGTGGATCAACTCTTATCACAATACACTGCCCCTCTCCAGCTCTGGTAATTTTCCCTGCTCTGAAGTCTACTTTATCTGATATTAATATAGCAACCACTGCTTTTGTTTGATCAGTGTTTATATATCTTTTTACATTTTTAAGTTTCCATTTGTCTATACCATTACATTTAAATGAGTCTCTTAGAGGCAGCAGATAGTTCAGACATGGTTTTAAATCCACATTGCCTTTCTCTGTTGTAATTGGTATATTTAGACCACTTGCATTTATATTTAACTGCTGCTATGTTAGGTTTCATCCTGCTGTTTTATTTTTTAATTTTCTGTTTGTTCTCCTTGGTTTTTTGTTTGTTTGCTTACCTGTTTCTCTGGGGTTTTTTTAGGTTTATTTATTTAAATAATCTCTACACTGAACGTGGGGCTTAAACTCATGACCCCGCGATCAAGAGTTGTGTGCTCTTCCAAATGAGCCAGCCAGGTGCCCTTCTGTTTTCTTTTTCCTGCTTTCCTTTGGGTTATTTGAGCATTTTTTAGAATTCCATTTTGATTCATCTATGCCAGTTTTGAGTATATCTTTTTGTACAGCTTTTTTCATGGTTACTCTAGATATTACCTTATACGTACATAACTTATCAAATTCTGTTGTTGGAGACGAGAAAATATTGCACATTATCGGATGCATTTTAAATGATAGTTCTCTTAATCATGTGTGGATAATTTTCAAGGTGAGCAGTATGATAGTGCCATTTCATTACCCAGCACCCTGTGATTCTTTAAAATTCTTTCAAAGAAATTTTATCCACTGTGATTCTATAAGATTCTTTCAAAGAATTGTAACACAATGAAGACTCTCACAAGGTATTCTCCAACTGGAAGGAAAGGTAAATTGCTAATTTTATAAGGCTTCCATGATACTCCCTTTAGTTCACTACAGCTTAGGTCACCAGGAAGAATGAAAAAGCATTTAGGAATATCTAATATATATAAGACATGTGCTTTCTCAAGTTGTCTCACTTTATGGCAAATTCTAATTAACTTTACTCTGGGGGAAAATTACACCAAATTCATCTTAGAACAAACCTCACTGGGGCACCTGGGTGGCTCAGATGGTTAAGCGTCTGCCTTCAGCTCAGGTCATGATCCCAGGGTCCTGGGATCGAGCCCGGCATCGGGCTCCTGGCTCAGCGGGGAGCCTGCTTCTCCCTCTCCCTCCGCCTCTCTCCCTGCTCATGCTTTCTCTCTCTGGGTCTCAAATGAATACAGAAAATCTTTAAAAAAAAAACCCCAAAAAACCTCACTGTTACTAATGCTGGCTGGAAATGACACAAAACATTAAACTCTCTCTTTCCCTTTACCTGGAGAAGTGCTAAGAAGTTCAGATTGACAGTTCCCTGTCCAGGCTTTAGCTATCATAGTTAATTATGCCTACTCAAGACACATCTGAAAGAACCGAAATTTAATCATACATATCGAAGGCTAATTATGATAGTGCCAAGGGAGGAGTGAGGGGAAACTATTTGCCCTTTAGTAACATAGAATTTGTCATTTCGGGGCGCCTGGGTGGCTCAGTCGTTAAGCGTCTGCCTTCGGCTCAGGTCATGATCCCAGGGTCCTGGGATCGAACCCCTCATTGGGCTCCCTGCTCATTGGGAAGCCTGTTTCTCCCTCTCCCACTCCCCCTGCTTGTGTTCCCTCTCTCGCTGTGTCTCTCTCTGTCAAATAAATAAAATCTTTAAAATAAAAAAAAAAAAAGAATTTGTCATTTCATCTAAGGACTTATTACTCCTATAGAACGTTCATTAAAACAATAGAATAGGACGCCTGGGTGGCTCAGTTGGTTAAGCAACTGCCTTCGGCTCAGGTCATGATCCTGGAGTTCCTGGATCGAGTCCCGCATCGGGCTCCCTGCTCCTTGGGAGCCTGCTTCTCCCTCTGACCCTCCCCCCTCTCATGTGCTCTCTCTCATTCTCTCTCTCTCAAATAAATAAATAAAATCTTTAAAAAAAAAAAAAAAACAATAGAACATTTGTATGTTGGGACTTAAAACTCTTACAGATTTGCCACACATTTTCCTGGGGGGGGGGGAAATACCATAAATATTGCAACCCGTTAAAGGTTAACAATAGTACTAGAGAGAACAGATGTTTTTTGAGGGGTTCATCCTCCAAAAGGGTTTTCCATCTTTGGTTTGTAACTTAAGTATTTTATTTTCTGATTTTAATTACTAAAGAAAAAAAAAATTTCAGTATAGACAACAGGCTCACTTTTTAAATCTAATTCTGTTTTCTCAGTATGTACTGAGTTCTCCAGGTCTTACTGAAAAAGTAACAGATGGGAATTAGTTCCCTGAAGTTATACATCCCTCTAGAGGCCTATTCAGTTTCAATATTTGATGAGGTCTCAGGGATCTGTCAGTATGGTCTGAGGCTCGAAATGACTCCCACTGTTATGGATACCCCCTTCCACAACCTGAGCTCCTGATTCTAACGTTTTAGGAGATAAGTACCATGTTTCAAACTTGGGGAGGGAATAACAAGATGGAAAAAAAATTTTTTTTTTCTCTGACTTAGGATGTCCATTTGTTCAAGTTCTTAGGAAAAAGCAGTCTAGAAAAACAACTGCATGGAACGGGTCAAAGTTTCTATGGTAAAATAGTAGGATTGAATAACTCCCAGAGGATAATCAGATTAATTTAAATTCTTGGCATCTTTGTGAGGCTGGAGGTAAAGTGAACAAAGGGAACCACAGCCCTTCTCCATCTGAGACGTTCCTGCAGGCTTCTGAGTCTGTAATCTGCTGCAGATTGCACATGGCCTGCCTCTCGGAAGGTCGTTCACCCCTGCAAAGTAGCGTTCATCCACTCAAGAAAGTCCATGGAGGCTTTCAAAAAAAATCCCTTTCACCAATTTCAAATGTATTTATAAGAGGAACTGTGGCATAGAAAAGCTCCCCCCTCCTGATTTCTTTTCTACCAGGCATTTCTTGAACTCATTATTTAATAAACTTAAAAGGTAAAGTAAATACCTCTGAGGTGGTAGTGAACTCTCTTTGATTCTTTATATAAATTTGGGATAAATCTACACATCTGACATGATTGATAGAGCATACAGTAAGTACAAGCTCATAACAAGTACTCAGTAAGTATTTGTTGAGTGAGGGGAAAATAAGCTCTGGGTATTAATCTATCAAAAAATGGGAAATTTTACCAAAAGTGACAGTGTGATGAGGAGATTTTGACTTCAATTTATAGTGCTCTGTATAGTCTTTGAAATAGGAGAGGATGATATGACAGAGAA